ATAATACGGTCTTATTGATTTGTACTATAAGCCCATGTAGTCAAAATACTTTCGCGAAGGCACTCTTCCATGGACTCCAACCCACAGCCAGCAATATCCCTGGGAAGGCAGAATCAGTCGGTGGTACTCTTCCAAAACCGATACTTCTCCTCCACTAAAACATCACGGATTTTTCTGTCTAAAGCCTTTGTTTGATGCAGTGCTTCTACTAGTTTTGGACACCCTCCGTATGTTTGCATGTAGACGTATCGCATGCCAGCAACGGCTAAAAAATCATGAATTTTGCTGTCTAAAGTCTATGCTTGATGCAGTACTGCTACTAGTTTTGGACACTCTCCGTATGTTTGTATGTAGACGTATTGCATTTCAGTAACTGCAAAGGAGCTATAAGCTCTGGTCATTTGACCCCATTTCAAGTCGCTTTTGAAGACGACTTCAGCTTTGGCTACCATGGAGCTCTTAAATCGGCCTATCGCTTCATCCGTCGCTAGCATTCGCTGCTCCACGTCTAGACGTCTCTACTGATTCTGATTCGTTTCGATGAAAAATTGAAACCGCCGTATTTTACTTGTCAGGAAATTAAACCACCACTAGTTCATTTTGCGCGCAAACTCTCAAAAGAGGAGCACTAATAGCCTAGTAAAAGTTAATCCGGGGTTTCATTTTGCTGAAATTGTCAGCAATATCTATGGGCCCAACCTACAACTCAACACTACTTACTCTAGACAACATGCCTGTTTCTTAGATCTCCGAATTCTATGCCAAGATGGCAGATGCATTTTAAGCATATACAATAAGACCTTGGACTACCCATTCACAGTCAATTATGGTGGGCATACTGATAGCGATATGGACCATGCGGTACAAGATGGCGTTATTACATCACAACTACTTTGATATGCGCGCATTTTCACCCTTCCAGAAGGGTTTTTTGACTGGGCTAGACGCCTCATAAACATTTAAAGACAAAAAAGTTTGATATTGCTAGGGTAGAACGTTTTAAGATTTTT